GAGTCAAATCTAATGCTTACACTGCTCAGTAATATGTGCAAGAGCACAGGGAGAATGTATCCAGCAAATGCTGCATGTTTTCAGTGGTGTCTAAAGGATCTGGGGGCTCCCTGGGCCCATTGCTATTCCCAGTTTCTCCTCCTTAGCTCTCCTGAGTACGACTGGTGCATACTGGTAGTCCCCAGTCTCCACTGATTGTTACCAACTTTCATGGAAATCCTGCAGCCTTGTGACCCAAATACCAGCATAAGCAGTTTTAATTTTACTAGGGTCATACCCATCCTTGCAGATCCTATAAACCCTAGTTTGGGGCCTGCTGGTATAAATATTGCTCATGACCTGTCAGGTAGTGCATCATGTTAATATAAACAGCGTCTTGAGGTTTAACTAGGCAGTGCCAGCTACATCTACACTTGGCCCAGTTTTTACTCATATCAAACAGCACAGTGACACTTTCTCCCCTTTGTGAGAGATTTTCTTGTAATGGCATCATCTAAATAAGTATATAAAATCCATGAACTTTGAGTACGCAAGGACTGTTTCTCCAGAAATCAACATTAATATAAATCCCTGACATAAGCCCCATAACACAGTCATATACATTATTAGTACTAGCTGGAGCACGCATTCCTTGGGCAGCGTTGGAGACACACGGCCACTGATGAGCTGAAATGCAATAATGTCTGAGAGATGTTGTTAAGATGGGGCAGTACGTACCCAAATAGCTCCTGCCTTTGCTCAGAAATTACAACAGGCTGTTCCCCCAGCTGTATGTGTTTCAGCCCCTCCTTGAAATGCAGAGAAAAAGAAACGAATTGGACAAAATAATCTGAACAAAACTATCAAGGAAGGATGGATCTGAGCTTCTGTGGAGGTGTTAGCAACAGCGGAGGCGGTTAAAAGAGGGAGCAGCATCTCTTTTCTCTGTCTGCTGGAGAGAAAGGAGGAGAGGACGAGGATGGAGGGATACCCTTGCCGAGGGCCACCCTGGAGCCGCAGGGCTGTGACTGGAGGGGGATAGAAGAGCTAAATCAAGGAGGAAAACACCATCCAAGTGCTTTGTACAGAAGCAGATCCTGGGGTCCCGCATGAGTCGGCAACAACGGCACATTATCTATCCCTGTCCCAGTGCCCTGAGTCACACCGAGCCTCAGGAGAGGGACGGGGGGGCTGAAAATCCCTCCCGAGCACGGCTCCTGTGTTCAGTCAAACCAGCCACCGAGCACTCGCCATGGTCTTTTTACAGATGATATATTACTCCTTGCTCATGTTAACCCAACGTGAGTTTTTTGAGACACTGGCCCTGGAGAAAGGCTGTCTCCCTGCCTCAGCCACAGGATACACACAAGGTAAAATAAAATACTCAGTGTGATCTAATATAATTTAACTTCCAGGATTGCTTCCATATCCAGTTTAGTCTGAAAATCAAGACTGGCACAGTTTAAATCTTCTTTTGCACAATGAAAAAGATGTCACTCAAAATTTATGTTTCCCTCTGCAGGACTTCCTGTGTGATAAACAAACAAGGGCTCATCCTCTGCTGCTCCTCCTTCCTCTCTCCCCTTCTTTCTTGGGAAGCGATTCAAATGGGCAGAGAATAGAGCCATTATAAGACAAAATAGAAAAGCATAGGATGCAATAACTCAGGTTTTAATATATGTTTAAATTGGGAGTTCGATTTAGAAGGGAAATGAAGATGCAGCTCGGTAGAAGGATCATTCCCTGGCATCCCCATCACACTGGGGTCAGATTGTTCGCATCCCCTCTCTGCTCCCCAGCCCTGGGCTTATCCTCAAGTTTGGCACCTCGTTTGCTCAGATGTGAGAAATATCTGAGGTTGATGGAGCATCCCTGCTCCTATTAAAACTGCATTGATTTAATTAGAAGTGAGGGATGGGTCTGGTTTATTTTTAGTTCAAAAAACAGAGGCAGGAAATCTCCAACCTCGCAGACACCATCCTGGACAGTGTTGGGTCAAATCCTTCCCCTGCAGTGCTCAGCTCCAGTCTGACCTGCTCCATCTTACTCCACCAAAGAAACCACTGCGTCAAACCTTTGATGATGGAGAACATGTCCTAGGAGCTGATAATAATAAAAAATCATTTTGGCAGCCACTTTGTTTTACAACTCACCCATTTTGACAAGCACGTGCTCAGGGAGGCAGAAGACAGCAGCAAAAGGCACAAGGTATCTGGGAGAAAAGGACACTTTCATTCTGTACTAGACAAAACTTAACACATTCCTGAGTTTCATATTCCTCCCTGGGGAGGAGACCCAACAGGGCAGGATTGCCACCCTAAATCTGCTTGATCTCTTGTATGATAAAATTGAAACATACGGATTAAGGATGAGAAATGCAGGTCAGGGTCTCCTAATCTGTGCGGCAGAGGCTGGCAGCACAGAACTGCACAGCATGCTACCCAGCTGGGATTTCCAAATCAGACCATAAGTGTCTCCAATGCACTAAGCTATGTGTTTAGCAGAGTTTTAATTGCAGAGTGATTGCATGTAATATTACAGAATTACCACAGATTTCTTAATTGACTATTAGTTTGCTGAGGTTAAGCAGATATTTCTCTCAATATGTGTTTTTGCTGCTATAGATCCTTGCCTCTATATTATTTGGCACAGCACTGTCTGAGCAACAGAAGCAGATATCCTTTACCAGGAGAAAAACACTTTAATTTAACGTGTTGGTAAATGAAACAGGCAGATGTGTGAGACTCTGAAAATTGGCTGTAAAAAGAATCCAGATTCTGCTATTTTTAAAGAGCTGCATGCAGAGGTAAACAGCTGGGAAGTGCCAGTGCATGGAGGTTTCTGCAAAAATTACGAAGTTCACAAATGAACTTGCATTGGGAGCCATTTGGGAAGCTGTTTTCACAGCCTGAAAATCCAGCTAATCCTGTACAGGCACTGGAAAGCAGATGGACTGGAGCTGTGATGTTGACTTGTTCCTGTTGGCCTGATGCTGATGGATGGAGGGAGAGAGGCTGGAAAGTATTGCTTCTCTCCGAGGGAGTCATGGGTGGGCTGCTCCATCCAGGGCAAACCAAAGGTCCATCTGACAGAGAAATAAATTTCTGGAGGTGGTCAAAAGCAGGTTCTCAGAAATGTGAAAGAGCAAGGCAGGCATCCAGTGCCTCCTCCAAGCTTCCCAGTGGACCTCCCCACTTCCCCTGTGCCATGTGTCACTTAGGGGCTGTCCCCAGCAAAGTCCCATCAAAGCTCCTCAGGGCAGGGTCAGTCACAGGTCAAATTCATTCACTTGATGGCGTCTGAAGAGCTGAAGGCCATCTGGTGATGAATTACATCTGTGATCACAGTGACCATATAGCAGCCAAAAATACTCAGGTTGAAATAATGAAATCACTTGGACAAGAGAATAAAAACAGGCTCTCTAGCCTTCTTTCCAAAAACATATCCCTTCAGTTGCCTAAAACTTTACTGAATAAATGTTTTTTGCAGCATTCCTGGAAGATGCTCTCATACACTATGCAGGCTGATCCTAGAAGAATACAATCATCTCCATTGTTAGCTTTGTGTTTAATAAAAGAGATAGCACTTGGAGTTGAAGTCAGGCCGTGAATACAGAACTGGACACCAGGAAATATTTAATTTCTGTACAAATTAGGCAGTGACTCTGCTACTGATGGCACCCACAAAAACAGGGCACAGACATTTCCCTCCCCACTGTGTTACTGAAGTCTCCCCTGTGCCTCTTGGCTGAGTAATGGTGATGGGGAGGTGCAACCACAGCCAGGCTTGCTCCTCCTGGACGGCGTTTTTCAAGGGAAAGACATCTTCTGCCTATCTCCTCTGTGAGCTACGGCATAGTCCCTGTGGGATGACAGCTTCTGGGGTTGGGACATATCACATAAATATTTTCAATCTCAAATCAGAAGGAAAAGCAGCCTTTGCCTCCACGTGCCAAATCCACGTTGCACCAGTGGTGCGTAGCTCTGTAAGAGAGCTTTGCTGCTTCCTAGCCCTTTACAGGTCACATAAAGGACAAGAGTGATGCGGCCCTTATTCTCTGTAGAGCAAATTTGGGATAAAAAATTAACATAATTATTTTATTTAGCCTTGATTTTCTTCTTGTCTTTTATTGTGTTATGTTTTAACTGAGATTTCTTTATTTCCTGCTAGGATTCTGCCAGAATCCTGTCATCTCATACAGAGGTTGAAATGCGTATTACAAAAGGAAATAAATCTTTCCCTTGATTGCCTGATATATCTACTTTTTAATCCAGATTGACAGCCGCACTGTACCAACAGCACTTTTATCCTTCAGAGTTGCATTTTATTTTCCACTGTTTGATGTCCCTCGGCAGGAATCTGGAAGGGAAAAAAACATATTGTCTTTCTCTGCTTACCCTTTAATTAATCATTTTTATTATGGTAATGTCCAGACCCAAACGTCTTTTAATCACTGTCTCAGGTATTGCAGAAATGTAGAGCAAAAGGACGAGCCCTGCCATCAGAAAGCAGCTCCCGAGGCCGTTTAACGATCCCCAGCACCGTGGGGACTGAGGCCAGTGGCTCCGCGTAACAAACTAATGGGATTATAGTGTCCCTGGCTCCCTGTCTACCTGGATGAAAAACATACACTAACTGTCTCTGCAAGTACTTTGGACAAAATACCCAGTGCCACAAGGGCATGAAACACAAGGACAGATGCAAATACAGTTTCGTTTAAGTCAGTGTCTGAACCAGGTATCAACAGTCCTTTATCTGTATTGTACCTCCTTCTGTTCATAACGTCACTGCGCCCGTGCCTGTTGCTGTTTTCTATTATTTCTGTTATGCTTGTTTTCACAGACATTTGCAGGCTGGTTGTCCCTCAGGGTTATTAATTCTTTGCACAACGGCAATAGAACAACAAAGTGGGGCTTTAGGAAAACAGTTTACAGTGATAAACACCACACAGGCAGGTCCCTTTTTCATCCCAAATGAAGAATCACTCACAAAACGTAATGGGCTTTTTTCATACGTTGCAGGTGCTGTGGTGATTGCCTTCGTGGTCTGTTGGCTCCCTTATCACGTACGGCGACTCATGTTTTGCTATGTCCCCTCCAGTCACTGGACAGAGTGAGTCATGACACAGGGGACAAGCTCCCCCCGTGACAGGATGGGGTGTGGGGTCAGACTGGAGCTGGGGCTGCCGGGGCACCAGCAGACCGGGGGATGGAGGTGGGGATCTGGGAGGAAAGGCGTTCTCCACACAAGGGGTTAAAGCCTCAACCTCCTAATTGTTGTTCTGGATTTTTTTTTCTTTTGGGTTTCTTACCGTGTCTGTCAGCCAAGTTACGAGTCTTAGTTTTATGATCTAAATCCCCTGGGTGTGGGTGAAGGAAGCATTAGCTTGAAATGGATCTTCCTCCTTCTGTGGCTGCAACCACCAAATCACCCCCCGTTAACAATGGTGATGGATATCCAGCTCTGACAGTCCTTGGTGAAATGACATTTGGATGGGGGGGTTTTATACATCTGAAGTGGATTGCTGTTTCCGTGGCAGAGGTATTGATCACTGGCCCTAAGATGGAGCAGCTCCTGTTAACACACAATTTAGCTCCGTGATGCCACATTTCCTTAGTGACAGGAGAGATTGCACAGGTGAGGAAATAACTGTGCTGCTCACTGGGTCTGGGGCAGATTATTTACTGGGTTTTGCAGGGATTGGATCAAAATTAAATACTAGAAGTTGCCACTGATTAGAAAATGTCCCCATTCTCAAAGAATTTAGGGATAATTGCACACCTACACCAAATGCCCATGCACTGTTCACAGATGTGCAAGGGCACACGAACAGCTCCGTGCAGCCTTTCTGCCGTGTCAGGCCAGGTTCCTCAGCAAAGCAGCCACAGAACTGATTATTAATTTTAAATACACAATTAAGCATTAATGCTGTCTAGGGATATACACCCAGGTAGCCTGAGATGCCGTGAGATGTGCTCGGTGAAAAATGTGTCTTTCCTCCCATGGTGTTATGTCCCTTTTCTCTCTGGGACCAGGTCTACTTTCTGCAGTGAACAGGAAAAGAAAAAAAAAACATATACTACAATACCAAAAAGCAGAGCAACTATGAGACATTAAAATTTCATTTCCAAGCACAAAAAATTGTAAGTTATGATATAACAGTCTAGTGAATTGGATTGTACATCCATCCGTAGTAAAAACCAAAACCCATCTTCAGTCATAAAAACAGAGCTCTAGGCACACACTGGGACAAACTGTTGTTTCTTGTTTGCTTTTCTATATGAAAAGCACTTAAAGCAGCAATCAATTATGTAGTGACTGCATTTGCTTTAAGCAAGAGGGGTAGAGAAGTCTGTCTGCAGTTAGTGTGAATTTATGCATTGTGGTTGCCTTCACATATATTTTTTTCTTCTTTTAAAAGCCATGAGCAATTTTTAGGAAAACACTGAATTTATAGGCATATTATGAATGGTGTGCTATCAGTACGGTGGCTAATCAAGAGCACGCAGCATCTTGACATGTTAATTTATAAATGTGTGTGCCTGTCCCTGAAGATGAGAAAATTTTGTTATATTAATTCTTCACAACTATATAGAGAAACTCCGCTTTCAAGAGCTGGTTGGGCCATGCAGTACTTGGCAGTGCTGAGGGGGTGTGGAGGGATCAGTGATGTACTCCAGCACACGTCTATTTATCTTTTGTTAGACAGGGCTCAGACTAACAAAAAGGTCTGCAATTTCCACTGAGATAAATGATCCTGGGGAACATCTTCCTGAAAATGAGACCCACGTTGTTTATAAACCCTTTACCAGCTCAGAGCTGTTGCTTTCAGTTGTCCAAAGGAAAGATATTTAGAAAAGGGGAAAAAAAAAAAAAAAAAAAAAAAAAAAAAAAAAAAAAAAAACCAAACAAACAAAAAAAACCACCAACCAAACCTAAGCATTTTCAACCAATTCTAGTTGAAAACATTGTATTGAGATGGTCAGGCTGTGTTTCAAAAGCATGCTGTCATCAACTTGCCCCAGAATAGAGAATGCTATCCTAGATTACAGACAAATCCCAACCCAGGGACCTCTGAATGAGCTGATGCAGCTCTCGCTGCCGGGGGGAGGAGAGAGCTGCATCTGTTACTGGATCTTGGCTCTCCTGCAGGCTCTGTAGACCAGAACTGCAGCCAGAAAGCCAAGCTAATGTATATGCATGACACGGAAACAAATTTCCATCTGGCTTCTCAGTTTCACACATATCTATTCTCAAAGACAAAATGAATGCACGTGGTAAATATCACATCCAGACCCAGGGCATACATAAGTTTTTAACTGCTAGTGATTTGGTCAAGACCTTTATAGAGGCATTTGACCTACCTTTGGCCAGTCCCAGTTGAAAACATAGATGTTTTCCTGGTGGCTCATGCACTGTCTCCCACTGGTAAGCTCCCGTCCCCAGCCAAGAAAGGTTAGCTGAAAAAACAGCTCGTTTTTCTCACCCTTGTGACTTTGAATTATTTCAGTTCTCTGCACTCTACTTAGATTTTTTTCTTTCATCTGTTCTTCCAGTTTCCTTTTCAACTTCTACCACTACTTCTACATGCTGACAAATGTCCTCTTCTACGTCAGTTCTGCAATCAACCCCATCCTCTACAACCTGGTGTCTGCAAATTTCCGACAAATCTTCCTCTCTACACTCACACTCCTGTGCCTGCCATGGAGGAAGAAGAAGAAACGATTGGCTTTCACCAGGAAATCCAACAGCATCTCCAGCAACCACACATTTTCCAGCCAGGTCACAAGAGAAACTACATACTGAAGCCAAAGGAGGAAGGGAAATGCGTTTCATGATGGAGTCAAACCTTGAGAGAGGCCTCTGTGACTTTCATGCATTGTCTCCAAATTCATGTAACACAAATGTGTTTAGAAAAGTCATTTTTGTTGGAAAAATAGGCTTCATTCTGCCAGCAACTTTGAGGTTATTTTAAAGCATTGGCCTTGCCTCTTGTGAGTAATGTCTACATGTTTTGTAAGTTCGGTCTGGCATAAATCCAGGTGCAGTGTTAACTGGGAAGGCAAAATATGTTAAACTTGGGCAAAATCATACTGCATTTCATCCTTTTCTCAATGCAGAGATGCCATGTTCACTTCCGAGGGTTTGAGATCACATCTCTTGGTGACACTGAGTAGAGAGTCTGATGAGAAGGCGGTTTTGAACAGAAAGGGATGTTTTTAGGGAACAGACATGCTCATCTATGGGATGTTCAATGAACGAGGAGGGAAAACTCAGGGAGCCAGGTAGTTATTTTAGAAATACATCTAAATTATGATTAATATGACCTAGGTGCTCAAGAGAGCTGCGCTGGCTCCTTGAAATTAAATAACAACAGATGATGCCTTACCTAGATTGGGGTGGCTGTGGCCTGGGGGAGTGGGGGGTCAACTTTCACTTTAGGGCAGATATAGTGCCGGGCACAGCGAAACCCCTCTCTCTCTGGTATTGGTACTGCAACACCAATAAATAACAAAGTCTAGCAAAGTCAAGAATGCAGAAACTGTGCCCAGCTGGAGTGATGAAAGCAAACAAAAATGGAAAATCTTACTGTTGCCATACAGCCAAATCCTATTTTTTACCAGGGAGAACAGTTAGCTGGCCAGCACTAAGAGATGAGAGAACTCCGGGCTCATGAGGGCTCCAAGCTGCTAGGATAAGAGCAACCTGCCCCAATTCTGTGGGACCTCCAGATTGTCCCCATTTTTATTCCAATTTCACCTGTTTCCTCACCATTTTCACAAGGCTGATGTCTCATAGGTTATATCAGTTGTGGACAACAGTGCCTCTTGTTCTACCTTTTTTTTTATTTATTTTTGCTACCAGACCTGTTGGCACACTGTTCTGCACACAGAGATCTTCAGATAGTGCAAATGCAGACACAAGAAGGTATGAACTGGGGAGTCCTAGCTCTAATACAGCTTTATTTTAACAAGCCAGAGGAACAGAAACAAGACCTGAAAATTCTCTCTGAAATTCCTCAGCTGGCCAGAATAGGTAGTGTGAGCTTTTCTCCCATATGGTTCCACTTCTAACAGCCCACTATGTGATGCAACAAATTGCTCCAGAGCCTTTAGCACCAGAAGTCCCAGGTCTCTGGGACAATCTAAAGGGCTTTCCCTGCTGTCACATCACCAGATGGTGACCTGCATGAACCTGGAACCAACCAAGCAACCTGTGCAACCTCTGCTGTGATTTTGCTGGTGGTGACCTTGCATCCCCTCGCACACCACACTTCATTAGGAGAGCAGGACTTGCCTCTTTAAGATGACAAATGAGAAGAGTCACTTGGCTCAATTCAGCTTTCTGGGCTTTACCCATACTCTGTCACTCTTCAACTAACAAGCACCCTTGGTACGTAACAGAAGTTTCAATGCTGGAGATGTGGATCTGGCCCCAGTGAACCATCACACGATGATGGAGATCAGTTACTGATCCACTGAGTATCAGTCATTTCTCCTGCTACAGATGTGGTATCTCATGGGTTAAGCCCTGTTGGGCTCAGGGCATAAAGAAAACACCTGTGGGACATTTGCTGTGAGTTGTGAGTGATGGCTATCTACTCCCAAGGCATTTATAACCTGGCAGTTGTACAGAGCTAGCTAGTTACCATGGTAGACCAGGCTACCATCAGCCATGACCTCCAACCACACCTACCAGGGATGGGAGATTCTTTTAATGCCTAATACAGAACCACTCCAAAAGAAAGGGCTCAAAATAGAAATCAGTGAGGCTTTAGTTTCTTCTGATTCAGCCAAACTGCAAGTTTTGTTCTGACATGCCTTCTTGTAATTTCTTGCCCTGGTTGTACCAAACAGAGGGCAGAGTTTATATGTGACAAAGCACTTTTCGTTGCTCGTGCACAGCTGACTCCTCTTTGGTAAGAACAGATAATGGCACGCACACACACACACACACAGACACACACAGACAAAATAATGAAGAGAGACTGGTCACTTTGGGAGGAAATCTGTGAGAAACCAGCAAATGTTATCTGTGTGTTAGAAACGGCTTGGGCAGGTTGGAAGCTCTAAAAGATTTGTATGTACTGCCCTGTGGTTAAGTCCAGGTATGATGATCAGAGGAAGAGAAGTCTTAATGTCACACCCTTAACATTGGCCTTCCAGGGAAGATACTTTAGATGTTTCCGGAGGGGTCTCAAATTTTTTAACTTCACCTCTAAATAGAGTCAACAGCTAGGAGGTGGTTTCTGAAACCTCCCATGGAAGCTGTAACTGTCTTGCTTTGACTTTCATTAGGATTTAACATCCTGTATTTCTCAGTTGCTTTTGAAATATTAAACATTAATATCCTTGTTCAACACCAACCTACTGAAGTGTGCTTGATTATCTTAGAAAACACTGTACAAAAATTGTTGTTTCACATAAGATGCTTGGCTTAGACTTTTATTACTGAGATACGCTGGCAGCTTACAGAATATTTGATCACAGCTCAGAGAAACTGGTAGGTTTATTTTTGGTTTGACATGAAAACGGGAACAAGCTGGAGTAAAAATGAACTTATCGTAAACTCTTTCTGCAATGTTTGTTGGGCTACTTGAGTCCTGAAGATCTGACTATTTGTGAGGATATATCCAAGCAGTTTGCTGGCTTCTACAGCTCTGATCCTGCAGTTTAACACAGTCTATGGCCTTAATCTGAGACTGCAGCTCAAAGCTACCTCTGCCACTGGCCAAATCTGACTACCTTGAGCTGAGAAGTGTAAATTACAGCTGATTTCATCCTCTCTCTCCCCCTTACCTAGCTTTGTTATATTTGACCTAGAGATTTAGTTCTCAAGCTCAGAGAAGTGAGGATAAGTCACTGCAAAACCCCACGGTTTTGTAAAGGAAAGCATGATACCATAGAGAAGAAGAAGGCACAAACCACCCGGTATATACCAGAAAAATGGTTCTTTCCATGCATTTTAACTACTAATCCAAAAGGTTTAGCTTTAAACCTAATCGAGTATAAGTGGCTTTTGCCATTAGACAAAATGCATACTCCCATCCTTGGTATTCCTGTCTTGTCTGAACTCTCTGCTGAGGCAGAGGTGAGCGTTGGTGCAGCATGCTGTTAATCTATGCAAATTTCCTACAAGTGTTTTGAACTGTTTGTTTCGACTAAAAAAAATCTGTTGAACCCACAGATGTGAAGTGCTGCCAGATGGATTCTGAGAAATTCCCATCTGAAGAAAGTCTATCAAGTGACCTCTTCAAAAACTATTTTGAGGTTTCATTCCTCTTCACAGTATTCTTGTCAGGGCCATCCATTTGGCAGCGTGTGAAATCAAATTTACAAAGTCATTACGTGATTCGGAAATTTCCCCCAGACAGGACTTTCTCACCAGAGGCCCAGTACACATCAGTGTTTGAACACTCCGCTGAGCTTGTCTTTTTGTAAAGTGCATGAGACTTCGCTTCAGCGACTGAGCCCGTAAAGGAGAAAACCGAATGGAAAACTCCGTGAGGAAGGTTAGCAGGACACATGCTCTAACTGTGACAATAGCAGGACCTTTGCCTTTATAGTATCAAATGTCTAGTGAAATAAAACCCAAGGCGTGGTGTTGCTGCAGACAGCTCGTGTGGCAGGTTTGAACCCATCACCTGTGTGGCTGCTGTCACTACCTGCCCTCGGGGAGGGAGAGCGCGGGGGCTCTCCTGTACAACACCCTGAGTGTCAGCCTGATGTCTGGCCCGTTGTGTTGTCTGGTAGCTGTTTAAACAAAGCTGTACCTGCTAGAGCTCAGCCTGGTTCTTAACATTACAGCTCAACAAGTTCTCCTGTTCTCAGTCTGGATTCGTTTAGTACAAAACCAGAAATTGCTAATCCAAAATTTCATGATGCTGTGTCCTGGCTTTGTGATCGAGAGTCCTTCCTGAGTCGTGCCACCTGATAGTCCTGCACATGTTGTATTTATGGCGAACATTTTTTAAAGTGCGACTTTGTTTTTTCTGAAATACAAAATGTTGATGTGCTTTACTTTCTGTGGCCTGTTGCGCAATGGGAAAAAAAAAAAAAAAAAGAATGTTAAAATTGTGTCAGCATCTCCTTTGTAATATTTTCTGTGACAAAGGGAAGGGAAAAGGTGTGGAATCCTTTTGTGTAGCAATGGGAAACACTCTTTCATTGTAACATTCTATTATTGATACTGTATTTACTGATCAAACTGTAATGAAATGGTTACTTTCTGATATAGCCTTTGTACTGTATGGTATTTTATTTTATTTTGTCATTTATTCATACTAAGAAATAAATATCCAAATTTAAGTCTTGGGCTGGTTATGCTTGAAATGGCAGCTATGCATATCATATAGCATATAGCAGCTATATCATACCAGCACAGGCTATCTGGCTGTGGTCTAAACTGATGAAATACCATTAACCTTGAAATGACCTTTGCACATCCCCTGCTGAAGGGCCCCGAGTGCTCCTCGCCCCCAGCCTGCAAGCACCGGCTATTCGGCACGACACAGCATCCAAACACCACTGCTTGCTGCTTGTGTCTGCAAGTTGGCAAACAAGTTGGGGAAAAGACTACGTCAGTTTGAGGGAAATCCCCGTCGGTGAAGTTTGCCCTGAGAAATCCCTCCCGAGACCGGACAAACCCAAAGGGGGTCCGTGCTGGTTTACAGTCCAACCCACTGTGCTGTCAGGAGCAGTGATGGAGAGCATCCAGCTCCCTTCTGTTGGACGCCAGGGCTTTGAGCGTGTGGCACACACGAACCTGAAGGGTGGGAGTGGAGATCTCCTGGGCTTCAAGAAAGACCTGGGCTTCAAGGAAAACCCTTTCTCAAGGGCAACTGCTGTGTTGGGATCCACCTGGCATTCCAGGAGTCTGAGTGTTTTCTGAACTCCTGCCTTGCTTGTTGTGCTTGCTTGCTTTCCTCTGTCGCAGGGCAAATGTTGAAGACGTTGTATCTTGGCCATTATTTCTGCAGCAGATTTGCCCAGAAAACTGAGCAGATTAGGGTTTTATTGCACTAGGAGCTGTACATACACAGTGAAGGAGGCAGGCCTCACCCCGGAGACTTTGTTGCTGAAAAACAAAGCAGGTTTACTGTGTTTTAACAGTGAGAACAGTGAGATTTCCCTTCCTAACTTCCCTTCTTTTGCATGACTCACGTCCTCCCTGGCATCCATTTTTCTCATATAAACATAATTTTGCAGGAACAGAATACTTCGGTATCGCCCACTATATTAAAGTGTCTTTACACTTAATGAGCAAAAATCAGTCACCTCCCTACTCCCCGCGGCTCTCTGTTAAAGTTCTGTTGTGAAATAGCTCAGCTGAGCTCTAGGAAAATCCACAAAATCTTCATAGTTTTTAGCCATTCAACCGTATTGTTTTGATTTCTGGCAGAGAGAAAGGTTGCTTGGAAAGCAGCAACAAAATAAAATTTAAATATTTGGAATCATTCATGACTGGAAAATCCATCTTCTAAAAGCTAGCTGAAATGCACCACTTCTCAGAAAACATTTTGGTGCTGCTTCCAGATGAGAAGAGCAGGAGCCTCTGTTGTCCCTATATCATTTATTACTAATGAATCAAACAATTTATTTTATGTATCCTTTTATTTGGTATTCAGCCGTGCTCTGTTAAAAGGTGCATTCTCAGTCTGACGCCTGAGGAGCTGCAGTTCATGTCTTCAGCAGTGAAAATCCACAGCATATGGCAATGTCCTTGTTTTCTGGCTGCAAGAGATTTTTGTGCAGGGCACAATGTTCCCAGTGGAGACTCCATGGTTTATGCAGAAATCCAGGCCACATTCAAGCTGGAGTGAAAAATGTTGCCCTCTGCTCATGACTTCTCTAGCTCAGGGCTGACTCCTTGAAAAAGCAAAACTCCCAGGAACCAGAGCTCCTCTCTCTTCCCATGCAACCCTCCCACCCAATGTCACACGGGCAGGCATCACATCACGCCCCACCAGTGCAAAGGAAACCAAAAGGCTAAGGAGAGTCAATGAATTTCTTGCTTTCTTTTAGAAAGGCACAAGGACTGTGCCTTGAGCAATGAGGAATGCTTTCAATTTGGCCCGTATTTCTCATTTCAATTATAAAAGTAATTTCCATAGTTCACAAGAGGAAAATTTCAAGCGCCTTTTGAAACAAATGTTACATTTTAGTAAATGGCTTCATGAAACTTAATAAACATCCATCCAGAAGTTAATTTATTTAAAATGCCTTTAAATCCTCCTCTGCCTTATTGAATTTGTTTGAACTGTAGATCAGGTTGGAGTATATTCATGAGGGTATTTAAGCAATAAGGCAGAGCATCCTGGTTATTGTTACAGGTCTCCTGTGGCCTGTGCAGTAGGAAGCAGAGCATGATCCAGCTCCAGACACCTAAGTGCAAAACCCCTCCTGAAGCACCCGAGCACAGACACGGCCCCGAGTGCTGCGGGGTGGCTGAACCAAGGTGCTGGGGTTGGTTCCGAGGAGAAGAACCCACACAGGGCGAGCACACAGCAGCCAGCCCAGCCCTGGGCTCACTCAGCCAAATGCCAGGGGAAAGGATAGTGACAGAAACTTTAGGGCAGGTCAGCTGAGCCTGTCAGGGACTGTATCTACCAAAGAGAGAGAAAACACAATTGGTTTATTCTTGAAGACAGACTTACTGAAAGCAAAATAAGTGGGAAGAGTCAAAAAAACTTAAATGAAACTTAAACATCTCAAAGATTGCCAGAATAGCATCATCTCTGTGAGTGCAACAGCCACACGCTTACCTGTGTGTACACTCACTCTAAATTCTTGGTCTTTCCAGTGGGGACCTCTTCCTCTTGCTTGAAAGTACTGTCAGGCTTGGCTGGTTTGTATCACCAGTGATACGACACAATTACACTTGGCTGTTTCTACATGAAGTCCTGAGGAAATGGGAAGCAATATCCTTCTCCCCCTTTCAGCCCAAAAATGTAACACCATGCTGTAAAGCAGGAACAGTCCACTCTGCTTTCACACTGCTGCTGCTCCGCTGTGCACTGCTGAGATGCCTTCAGCTTTGTTGTAAATTGAAGTTACATAAAGGAATTATTACGAATGCATAGCCTGGAAGATCTGCTTCAAAATCTGCAAAGGTACAGGGAGAAAAGAGAACTCCTGTCTTGTGAGTAACATCAGTATCTTGGATGGACCATTTCATCTTCCTTCATCTTGATGAAATGCAGAATGAAGATGAAAGGACAGACACACCATATTTTGCCATTGCATTAGCTTCAGTCACATTAAGGGCTGAGCCAGTTAGCCTGAGATTTCTTTGTTCCTTTCTCCTGCTTCTGTTCTCTCCTGTCTTTGGAAGCTGCTCAGTAGGTATGTCCAACACTTCTGCAATGCAGCTTTCAGCCTCAGGCACCACTAAAACGCATCATAATTAATCAGAATGTCTGATTGCTCTGTATCTCATCACTGCTCCTTAACTATGTAATTTCCAATTAAAATATTCACATACCATTTTTTCTTTATAAATGTCTCAGGGCTGAGCAGGTACCAACACTGGGTCACACAGGTCTGTGGCTTATCTCCCTGCCAAAAACAAACATGCAGGGGAAGAATCCCAGGGCCAGAGCTTTTAATAACTGGAGTGTGGTTTGCACAATGTGATACTTGCTCTTCTGAAATCACATTTCCTGTGGAATAATCCATCTGGGCTCAGCCAGAGAGCAGACACTTGGCCACTCCTGCCATCCCATACCTGCAAGCAGTACACAGACACTTGTGGACCCTCCAGCACCCCAACATCTCATGAACATAATGATGATATAATTGCAGCCGTTATCAAGATTTAATAGTGTTGGCACACTGCTAACAACCTAGCACCATCCATACCTTTGTCGCTGCTAGGGTGCTCTTGTTTTACGATACAGATTTCATGCACAGAGAACTTAAGGGATTCAAAGACTGTAATGAAATCTTGTAGACCAGAGATTCAAACCCCAGCGTTTCCGACAGTCAACTCTGATTCATCTTTCCCTTCATTCAGCATAAACAGGTAGTCCTTGAGCTATTTTAAGCCTCCATTCCAGGACATATATTAGCAAAACATGCCAATATTCAACCATTTAAAAGCAACTTCTTGCTGGTTGTCAGAAACAGCAACAACCTTGGCATAGCACTTGGCAGCTTTCAAAGTGTTCTTGACAGTGCTGTTATCCTTGGTGTCTGCTTCTGTATAGAAAACATACAGCGCAGAAGGTAAAGCATTGTGTTCTGAATTTAAAAAATACCCAAACAGGAACAAACTCCATTAAATGGGAATGACCTTAGTGGTGCCATGGAGAACTATAATGAAATCTGTGACACCTGACATTTTCAATGTTCTAGTTCTTCTGTCCACTTGAAAAGCAGCTACGACTGTCAACAGCATTTTTAGTACAGCTCCCACATTAGAGTATGCACCCTTACAAAGTTCCACATTACTGCAATAAATCATTTTTTGTCTTCCTTCAGACTGGCAATCGAGGTAAGATTAATTTCTCTTTACCATCATCACAAGCATGAAATTACATTTTTTTGTGACCATCCCAGAGAAATGCCTAACGTAGCCAATGGTGTTTCCTGATGTAGAACTTGAGTCTTACCCCTCTCCTGCCCCCAGGCTTCATCTGGATTGGGGCAGGCAAAAGGTAGAGGGATTTTAAGGCTGGTCACCAATGACAGCACAGCATGGCAGTCTGACTGGTTAATTTTCTTGCTCAGAGAAGCGAGCAACCTTCCCGACGAGGCTGATCTGGCAAGACATGTAAACAGAAGCCTATAGGATTTTGAAATGGAAGAAAATACAAATTTGTGGGGCATTTGTGAGCCTAGATGAAGGCCCACATGTACAACTGGTATAAATCGGTTTGCTTCTGCAAAACCCCCTGTTTGTGTTTTTAGGTGACCCAGTCTAGCTTTGTTTGCTTCTCTTTTCTGAGGCTTTTTTTAAAAATATCATTTAGCAGGGGAAAAATGAAGCAGTTCATTATGTTCACAGCTCCACAGCCGATCTTAAATGCCAGAGGCGCTGATCAGATTAAAACAGAAATCACAGTTCGTAGATTGTGTCTGGAAGGAACAAAGACTCTGGTCCTGATTTTGATTGAATACAGGGCGATATCTCTTGCTTATTGTATATATTACAACAGCAAGGAGGGAGAGTGTTTATCACAGCACGCCTCAGTGCTTTTTAATATACCGTTTATCATATGGAGCTCACTGGCATTCATGAAACACCCATGCAGATTTCACTTTCTATCTTAATAAGTTTT